CATAGTAAGCTTTCGAGGCGCTTGTTAGTCGTAATTTGAAGAGAATAGGCCTGGAAAATAAAAATTTTTATTCTAGATCTTACTGATAAATTAAAGTAGACGCATAGTATGCTTTCGAGGCGATTGTAAGTCGTAATTGTATGAAGAAAGCTCTAAAAAATAAGTATTTTTGATTCATTGTTCGGGTTAAAATAAATTATACGCATAGTAAGCTTTCGAGGCGCTTGTCAGTCGTAATTTGAAGAGAATAGGCCTGGAAAATAAAAATTTTTATTCTAGATCTTACTGATAAATTAAAGTAGACGCATAGTATGCTTTCGAGGCGATTGTAAGTCGTAATTGTATGAAGAAAGCTCTAAAAAATAAGTATTTTTGATTCATTGTTCGGGTTAAAATAAATTATACGCATAGTAAGCTTTCGAGGCGCTTGTCAGTCGTAATTTGAAGAGAATAGGCCTGGAAAATAAAAATTTTTATTCTAGATCTTACTGATAAATTAAAGTAGACGCATAGTATGCTTTCGAGGCGATTGTAAGTCGTAATTGTATGAAGAAAGCTCTAAAAAATAAGTATTTTTGATTCATTGTTCGGGTTAAAATAAATTATACGCATAGTAAGCTTTCGAGGCGCTTGTCAGTCGTAATTTGAAGAGAATAGGCCTGGAAAATAAACATTTTTTTTATCCTAGATCTTACTGATAAAATAAAATAGACGCATAGTATGCTTTCGAGGCGCTTGTAAGTCGTAATCTTATGATAAAAGGTCTGAAAAATAAATATGTTTGATTCAGATGTGATTGTTCGGCATAAAATAAATTATACGCCTTATAAGCTTTCGAGGCCCTTGTAAGTCGTATTTTATGGTAAGGAGGTCTGGAATCTAAGAAATTAGACAAAATAAATTTTATACTTGGCAGTATGTAAGTAGTAGTAGTAGGCTGTTGAGTTTATGGTGTTGTTGTTANTTTTTTTTTTTTTTTTAAACTGTCAAAAATTTACCAGTTTTCAGGAGTGTTTGGATTAGGCAGCGCTAAGTACCAGCGTGAGTCGGGGGAGAGGGGAAAGAGACGTAAAGCCGAACAGTGAGAGAGAGACGCAGTTAAGCTTGAAGAAATTAAGCGTGTGCGTTAGAATTGGACGTGCTTTTCGATAGCGCCCAATTTTCAGGTGAACGAGTTAGCGGCTTTTTTTGTTGCGTTTGTTTTTCTTGCGCGTGCGACTTTCACTTTTCAGGTACGAGGCATCCTGGAGGCCGTTTGCGTTTGATTGCGTGCGTAATTTGTTTACAGGAGGAGAATAAGGCCTAACGAGCCTTGTCTTATATATATACTAGTGGGGCTAACCCCCCCTGCACGCTCTGCGCGTCAACACCCCACTAACAGATTAAGTAGACAAAATAACGACTTAACTCGTGTATTTATCAATGCAGACTAAAAATTAGTTCACAACAGCAGAATACGTGACTCACAAAGGAGTTGATAAAACATATGTTTAACTAAACATAATTAAATTAACATAAATATCAATTTTCCAATAGTTTTTTAGAATAATATTAGATAGGGTCTTCTATTACACGAATTAAAATTAAAAATAAATGCTATTTGTAGTGTTAATAAGAACTTTAAGTATATCAGACGGTCTCTGTAGAGGCAAAAAATTAAAAATAACAAAATTAGTCAAGTATAATATAGAAGCAGAAATAAATATGGGAGAAAAAAAAGTAAAGTTTATATTGCTAGAATAACATTGAATACTGGCACCTTATTATTAATACCTTTTGACTGTTATAGAAAACAGTTTTCCTTTGTATGAGCATATTCTATATTCATCAATAAATCAGAAAAACAGACTTTTGATTCTTTAGGATTGTATATTAAAAATCTTTATTCTCTTACGGACAATTATACGTTGCTTTATTAAGATGTAAGAATCCAAAAAGAATTTTTATTCAAATTGCATTCGAGAATAAGTCAGAAATTAAAAATATTGTTTAGCTAGAAATTTTCCAGTAATTCAAAAATATGCAACTTTGAAGATCGTCACATTAAAACAGACGTATGTTAATTCATAAAAACCATGAAAAACAAATATGTGAAAAATGTGGAAAGGGTTTTAAAAGAACAGATGGGTTAAAATGACACATAAAATGTCACAACATTAAGCTAACAGAATGAATTATTGTTTTAAAAGCTTAACTGTGTTTGTCTATTTAATTATACCTCCTTCTGAATTCTGTCTTTTACTTAATTAAGTCCTCAAGTAATCAAGAGTTTTATATTTGGGTAAAGTAGACATGGACCTGAAAGAGATTTGAAATGTAAAAGTTCAATCAAGTTAAACAAATAATGGTACTTCAGAGACACATAGTGAGAAAAGGGAAGCGAATAGACAGAGGGAGACCTATGATCAGTGACTTAAAAAAACCCTAAAAACGAGGTACGACTAAGGTTCTAAATTTCGTGTATTTTTTAAAATTTATGATGCTAAAACATTAGATAAATAAGTATTTTATTGGGGGGGGAGGTGGAGGGGAAGCTGAGGGGGAGCAGGAGGAGCTTACTCAAATACAGTTTGATTAAAAATGACGTTAAAACAAGCAAATAACTACGTAAATCGAGGGAGAGCTGAGGGGGAGCGGGGGGGCTGAGACTCACTTTCGTCAATACTACTATATAATATAGTGGGATATATATATATGTATATCGCCAATCTTTAAATCACAAAATAGTGCATTACGATACTAGTGCGCGAGGAAGGCGATTGACGCACGCATGTCAGTTAGCACACGAGCGGTAATGAGCGAAGACACGCGTGTGTCTATCATCGAACCTCTCACAGTATGGTGTATACAACTTCTTAACACATCGCCCGCGGGAACGAGATTATGAGCCATCTAATGTGGCTCTAAAGATTTCAACATACACATGCACTCGCACGGGTTGTGAGTCGCGTGTGTACATCGAGGTCTTTAGAGCCACAACAGATGGCTCATAATCGAGGCCCCCGCGAATGGCATGTCGAGAAGATCTTTATAATCACAAACAAATAAATATCAACATTCCTGTCAATTTTTTTTCTAAACTGTGTAGTAGAATAGTTTAGAAAAGTAGCCTGTCAACTTTACTACTCTTGTATTTAAAAAAGTAGTAGAGATATTGCTACTATACTGACTACAGCGTTGCACTACATTCAACACATTGCACTTGCTCGAAAGGCGTACTCAATTACTTGACAACTAAACAATGTCGTATGTTGAGGAACGATAAGTAGGCATTGTTCTTGAGTACTTAAAAAACTGCTAACTTTTTTTTTGTTAAATCTTTAGAGTTTACCGTAGACAAAAAATGAAAAATTTTTTATTCATAGTAGTTATTATTCAAATATAATGCTAAGGTAACACATCCCACATAATATTCCTAAGACTTTGTCACCGATTTAGTTATGTAACGTCAGGTAGTACCATGTTGAAAAATAATTTTGTCATGCCTTACTGCATGTACTGGGCATTGGTAACATATGACATCTTTTTGATCTCATTAAATACTGAATGTAACCATACTTTCATAAATATCCTATTTTGCTTACTGTATCAATGGTTGTCAAGACTTTAGCCACAATTTCATTCTTTTTGAATTATTTTAGTAAATTTAATTTTTAATACCAGTAACAATTCAACATCAGAACGACTTTCACTTCTTTAAAGTTGCAATTAGCATATTGTTAAGCGTCTTTCAATCTTTTGTGCTTTAACATACAAAAAGATCTACGTAGTGATTTTCAACGTAGAAGATTCTATTTTTAAAATGTAATAGAAAAAATTCTCAATAACATTTCATTAAAATAAAATATACTGAATTTAAATACTTGTTTACATAGTTTCCATACAGATGCGTTGCAGTAACATACTCTGTCAGTAATCGTCGAAAATTTTCTCAAATACAAAATATCTTCCTCTCATTGTTTGAGTACTATAGTATTCGTTGTTGGTACACTTATACAGAGCAAGAAACTTAATACTACCTTTGCAGTGGAGTAACTTCCACCAATTTGTGTAAAAAAACTTGCCACGAAGGGTTTATGGACTCGCGTTCAGAATTGAGTTTCTTTTGCTTTTTGGAAGATATTTTCTGTACAGTCATTATAAATTATATTATAAAAAAGCTACATGGAAAATGCAAATACACGTATGTACATGATATCAAAAAATGTAAGCATCAACACTTCAACTGATACCACTTTCATAGTCAGTATAGTGGCTCGCGTTGCGGGGATAAATGAGAGACTACCAATAGTCAAGTCAACCTATGCATGTATAATACTTACGGCCACCGTCATAAGTTTTGTGCAGATGGCACTCGGTGCAAGGGGAAGCTACTAGCCGAGTGTAACTGACGAAAACCGGGGAGAAAAAGATAATTAAGTCTTCCAGAGCGCAGAAGAGCCGTGTGCGACGATATGTATAGTTTATTCATGATCGTACTACAGCAAAAAATGTCACAAGAAACTCTTGTAACATTTTTTTCTGTCTCACTCTAATCTACTTAGAAACACTGTGCAGCACACACACTAGGCAGTCTAGGAAGTCTTTAAAAATTTGGACTGTAAGCTTACCTTTGCATTTTTCGTACAAAAATATTTTCAACTTAATAGTTACACGCAATCATGCTTTGTTGCTTGAACTGTGTTTGTCTAAAGTTGCATTTAATAAGTTATTAAGTGTAATTTTTGTGGAAATGCTACAAAAAACTTCATTTGTAGTAAAAGATTTTCACTCAATAATTTATGAGTTCCATTCCCATTAGCAGATTAGAAAAATTGTAGAATTATTTAGACAGACATTTGTGTTACTCATTCCACTGCTCTCATCTATCAGATAGTAGCAGTTATCTACTACTTCAATAAATAAATTAATACTTATGTTTAAGTAAGATAAGTAAGTTAATACATTTTACTCTTTAATAAAAATCGTTAAAAAATATATTTAGTAACGAATGTACTCACTTTTGATTATCTTTGGCTTTAGCAATGAATCCAAATATGTGAGCAAAAGAATTTGGTATAATACCTCTTGAACGTGGTGAATTGTTACTTCCTATCATTGTATAGGTTTTTCCTGTTCCTGTTTGTCCGTATGCAAATATGGTACCGTTGTATCCTCGTAAAACTTTGTCTATAACAGGTCTTGCAATTTCATTATAAATATCAACTTGAGTTGATGTGCAGTCAAAAACCGCATCAAATGAAAAATTTTTAGGCGGTTCGTCAGCAATACTTGGATTGTATATAGTCACAACACCGTTGAGTGTATTAACATTTATTATACTTTGACAGCTTTTGTCCAACTCTTTTACATTCATAGGTCTTAATCGAACGACAACACAAACATTTTCAATTTCTTCATACATCATAGCTAAAAAACAAAGTAAAATACAAGAAAAAAATATAATCTTACATAACAATATAAACGTCAATAGCAAAACACATATCTTTTTTATGGTTCAGATTTCATAATTGTAACTTTTGCTTCCAAACAAAAAAACCTTTGCATTAATAAAAGTAACGTTGTATGAAAAAAATCTTATTGTGGTTTTAAATTCTATATGTTGTAAAAAAAAGTCATCTAGAAAATGTTTTTGTGCACTATGTGTTAGTATCTGTGTAATAAGCTATATTTCTTAAACTTTATCTTAATTATATAAGGCAGAAAGTTTCGATTTTGATACGCTTATAGCAATTTGATGATAAGCATACAGTTTTGTACTTCTTAAAAGTGGTAACAACAAACTTTTTATTTGAAAGAAAAAAATTTTTAAGTTACGTCCTTATACCGAAAAACATAATTTACTGTTCCAAATAACCGTATGTTACACAGGAGAAAAAGTTTTTACTACAGGAAAATATATCAGTACACCTGTCTTTTTTAGCAACAAACAACTACAAAGATTGTTTATGGAAACTCAAAAAATATTTATAATAACTTATTATGATTTTGTCAAATATTTGCCAACTAACTATTGCCAATTTGGAGAAACGTAGGCTATCAACTGGCAAAGCATTTTTCAGTTAAACTTTCCGAAAATGCAATATTTTATTAATATTTGCATACTTAATGAGGTTATATATCATAGTCTGCAAAAGCTTGGTAAGGCAATTTTTCGTAGGATATTTTTTTTTTTTAAGTGAAACTTCTGATGTTGGGCCGTGAATAGCCACGTAAGGGAAAGTTCGTTACGAAAAAATAAAGCCACCTACCCTGCGGCTCAAGCCCTCTTCTTAATCTCCTCTCAGACACACTCCCTCCCACTCTGTCTCTCTCTTTCTCTCTTGCATGTACGCCACGCGGTCTCTTCCTCTCACACTGCTACTACACCTATATATACACATACATTATAGATATGCGGTATGCATGTTTCTACGCTACAACTCAACCAATAAACTTGCTCAAATTAAGGTATAGTTATGGAGAAAAAGAAAGGCAGAGGAAAACAGCTGTATCTATAATAGAGGCAAAGTAAAGGTATGTGTATTGTATACATACAAAGGCGTTGCATATCCCAGTCATTACAAACATATTCATATGTATACTTGTGCGTAAAAAAACGTGAATAAAGTATTAATGACACCGGCATACAGCAAACAAAGTGGACTGTACTTTCAACCAGACCCGCTTATCTTTATGTATTTTGACGCGCTGAATCGGAATTCGAGGTCCGTTTGACCCGTACACCCTCAAAATTTTGAGTAAATTGCGAAAAACTGCGAAAAATAGCCGAAAATCGTAAAAAATCACATTTTCAGCTCTTCAAACATTAAAAAATAATTTCGTACACATGTGACGTGGTTGATCTATACGTAACTTAATGCGTAGAATCCGAATCCAGGGCTCGTTTGATCCGTACACCCTCAAAACTTCGAGTAAATCGCAAAAAACTGCAGAAAATAGCCGAAAATCGTGAGAAATCATACTTATAGCTCTTAAAACATTCGAAAACATTTCTATAAACATGTGTCTAGGTTCATTTTTATATATTTTGACGTGCTGAATCCAATTTCGACGTCCACTTCACCTGTACACCCTCAAAGTTTCAATAAATTTGCAAAAAACAGCAAAAAAACCGCAAAAAGTAGCAGAAAATCAAAGTTAATCGTAAAAAATGGAATTTCTATGCTCTAGCTGAGTAGAAAAAAAAATTTTTTGCAGATTTTGTCCAATTCTCATGTTTCATTTTTCACTGAGTTGAAGTTAGAGATTCGTTTAGCTCCAAAACTTTCAAAATTCCGAGGAAATCTTATAAACAGAAAGAAATTGCGTTTGTGAGCGTTAAAAAACTAAAAAAAGTTTTTTTCAAATCTTTTCGAAACATGTTTTTCTTGTACGTCGAAAAATAATTTGAAAATACGGCCAATATAAGGAGTAGCGAGTGTCGAGTATGAATACCATGGATATAAAATAAAGCAAAATAGGTCTACACATGTGAATCATGTTTTCGTTTACATTGCTCTCACACTTTCTTCCTCTTGTAGCGAACTTTTTTCTCTTCGAACTGATTTGATACGAGATATTGGTTTACCTAAAGATTAAGCTGAATACCTAGCAGCAGCACTAAAGAAGAAGAATTTGTTATCAAAAGGAACTAGTGCTTACGTTTATCGTGATAGAAGTAAGGAGTTTCAAAAATTCTACACCAAAGATGAGGAAAACTCACTGGTATTTTGCTATGACGTGAAAGGATTAGTTGATGAATTGAAACCAAATATTTACAAGGATGAAGGGTGGAAACTTTTTATCGATTCATCAAAACGACGTCTCAAAGCAGTTCTGCTTCACAACGGAAATTCGTACGTTCCTATTCCAATAGCTCGTTCCACGAAACTAAAAGAAACCTATGAGAATTTACAGACAGTATTAGAGAAAATAGACTACGCGAAACCTCAATGGAAAGTTTGCAGCAATCTCAAAGTTTTAACTCTAATACTAGGTCAACAATCCAGATTCACAAAAAATTCCTGCTTCTTATGTTTATGGGATAGCAGAGATAGGAAAAATCATTATATTTAAAAAGACTGGCCAAAGAGGACTGAATTTCATCCAGGATCGAGAAACATCGTACGGGAATCTTTGATTGAATCTTCCAAATTTTTGCTACCACCTCTTCATGTCAAGCTGGGTCTCTTGAAGCAATTCGTCAAAGCTCTAAACAAAGATGGTGATTGCTTTCAGTATTTAGGTGAGAAGTTTCGCGCGATAAGTAATGCAAAATTGAAGGAGGATATTTTCGATGGTCCTCAAATTTGTGCTACATTTGATGATGACAATTTTATTACAAAGATAAATAATATAGAAAAAGCAGCATGGCAAAGTTTTAAGAGCATATCTCAGAACTTTTAAGGAAATGAGAAAAGTGATAGTTACCAGAATATAGTTGTAAAGTTGTTAGACAATTTCAAACAATTGGGTTGTTCGATGAGTCTAAAATTACATTTTTTACATGTTCACCTTGACTATTTCTCAGAAAACCTTGGAGATTACAGCGAAGAGCAAGGAGAAAGATTCCATCAAGATATAAGTGAAATGGAAAATCGATATAAAGAAAGATGGGATGTCAACATGATGGCTGATTTCTGTTGGACATTGAAGAGAGAAACAACTCAAGAGAGGAATAAAAGAAAGAGAAACCCGCTTCATAGGTCGTTCGAAGAGAAAAAAGTTCGCTACAAGAGGAAGAAAGTGTGAGAGCAATATAAACGAAAACATGATTCACATGTGTAGACCTATTTTGCTGTATTTTATATCCATGATATTCATACTCGACACTTGTTACTCCTTATATTGGCCGTATTTTCACATTATTTTTCGACGTACAAGAAAAACGTGTTTCAAAAAAATTTGAAAAAACTTTTTTAAGTTTTTTAACGCTCACAAACGCAATTTCTTTCTGTTTATACGATTTCCTCAGAATTTTGAAAATTTTGGAGCTAAACGAATCTCTAACTTCAACTCAGTGAAAAATGAAACATGAGAATTGGACAAAATCTGCAAGAAATTTTTTTTTTCTACTCAGCTAGAGCATAGAAATTCAATTTTTTACAATTTACTGTGAAGTTGAAGTCGCTCTGTCCACCATATTGGAAGTCTCAACAACCATGCGAACGGCAAGGCAACATCGAGGTCGTCTTGTTGAAGTGTGTGCTCATTAGAAAGTAAAATGTATAGTGTCGTTACGCACCATTATTAGCGCGCGGCAGGCGCAACAGCCTTTAGCCATTGTGACAACACCTCCAATTTAGTGTTTGCTATAAGTTTAATACGCTGATTCACTTTACTTTTCGTAGGTGCTGTACTCATACGTACACACACATGTAGAGCGCGGCTCTCTCATAGCCATTATATCCGCCATCTTTTGATCGACGATTCTCTTTACTTTCGTAGGTGCTGTACTCATACGTACACACACATGTAGAGCGCGGCTCTCTCATAGCCATTATATCCGCCATCTTTTGATCGACGGTTCTCTTTACTTTCGTAGGTGCTGTACTCATACGTACACATAAATGTAGAGCACAGCTCTCTCATAGCCATTATATCCACCATCTTCTAATCGACGATTCTCTTTAGTTTACGTTGGTGTTGTACTCATATGTACTCACAACATGGAGCGCAGCTCTCTCACAGCCTGTATATCAGCCGTTTTGTGACTTAGTTCTTTCTTTCTAATACGTCATTTCTTCGCCTACGGTGAAGTAATAGCTCACCATTGCTACAATTGCTGCAGGCAGGCCACGCCTGTTCCTCCAGCTCATCAATCCTACCAGCCAGTCTATGTCGCCTGCTTTAGCTGCAGGCCCTCTACACCTGTAGCAGGTCATCCACGCCTACCCCAGCTGCTGTCCACATCGGTGCCTGCTAGTAGAGCAAGCCATTCTCGACGCACGCTCTTGCAGTTTTTCTGCGGGCCACTTATGTCTGCTGCCGAAGCTGCAATATAAAATTCTTGTGCTAGTAGAGACTTTAAGTTTTAGATTAAGATCTTAGTTTTAGTTTTAAGTTTCTCGTTCGAAAATTAGTGTGCCGTTTACGAATATGGAAGATCTTTATACCGCACAGACTAAATTGCACAAAAGGATTAGCAATTGCTTTGAAAACTTTAAGAAATCAGGTAGTAAAAGGGTGTCTCGTGGTAGAGCAGAAGCTATGGTACAGGCTTTGGAAGATTATTTAGAAAGACTTCGTAAAAATCATCAAGACATTCTTTCACTTACTGATTTAGATTATAAGCATTTATATTTTACTAGTGAAATTTTTGATATGACTGAGGACACGTACTATTTAGTAAAGGGAGATTTTGCCGAGTACATAAGATGTCTCCCTTCTGAAAACCCCCCACCCGCTCCGAACCCAAATCCCACTTT